GAGTCCTGTGCCATGAGGCAGCTTATTGGGACAAAACTTTCCTGGAGAAACTGATTCAGAAACCATTGTGGTTATCACTGAAAATTTATTTTCAACTAGGAGTCTATGCTCCAGCGACACCTATGAGGGGAAACRGAATGGACTGGAAAGAACAGATTTGAAAAACAGTGCAAGTTTGAGGGGAGCGAAAGCATGGACAGGAACAGTGAACACACTCACTTCCTTATTAACAAGGATTTTGAAAACGTAACAGAGACACGGACAATAGGAACAAAGGCCTAGAAGGCCAGATTTCATAAATCTATCAAATAAATTTTCTTAATTCAAAAGAAATTCCACAATGTGACTGAAATGCAAGTCGCACCTATCCCTCTTGAGGAAAACAGAAACAGAATTAGTTTTTCAAGACTCACTGCACAGCTACATGATCACCAGGACCACATGCCAGATCAATCCCAAGCCATTGTGAAACAACTCTTACAATTTCTTATTTTTTTAAAATGTTACAGTAGAGACTTTYAATTGGGCAGCTAGAAAACATCATCACAAGGATTCTCTACAATATTAAGATTGCTATTTTCTGCTCCATGGCGTGATGTATCAGAAGTGCATCCAGCACACTTTTTAAAGAGTACTAACGTAATCACTAAAACGCCTTCATTATAACAGAGGTTCCTTTTTTGACCACAGAGCTTAGTAATCCTTTCAGATCTTGGTGAATTCATCAGCACAAGAAACTGGAGTCACCGTGGTTGTTCCAACTGGGCAGAAGGTTCAATGACACACTTGAAATTACCTTGAATGAAAAAAACATGCACAATATCCTTGTTTCTTATTATGCTCAAGAAAAAATAGGAAATGATTTCTCAAAGTACAGCCAAAAACTCTGAGTATGGTTTCTCTTGCGGTTGGGTTTTGTTCAAATACTCCCAAGCCAAACAATACCCATCTTCCTGTGTTTACATTCACACTCCGACAGAAATGATTTACTAAAACGTTCTAATTGGGCTTGTGTGGGGTCTTTTTATTTTATTTTATTTATTTTCCTTCCTGGTTAGGAAGATGAAGAGGGGGGCCTGGCTGTTTTTGTGTGCATGTGCACATGTGTGTTTGCACATGCATGTGTTTTTAACAAGAAAAGTTTTGATTCCTACTGTTGTGATTCAAAAACACGTCTAGCTATTAGCTATACCTAGTGTCAATGAAAGAAAGCAAGCGCCATCTCACGAGCTTTTTAGCTTTCACTCAGTAAGTCTTCACTCAGTTTCTACCATCACTCCTGCATGCTGTGGCTCTTGCGCTATGTTATTAAATTTCACAGCTAAGGTTTGATTTCCTCTCTGAAATATTTGTACACCAAGGCACACAGCATGGGGAATAAACGGAGGAATAAATGTCTGCAGCCCAGAGGGAACCCTGGAACAGGTTCCTCGGAGAGGCTGTGGAGTCTCCTTCTCTGGATACATTGAAAATCCACATGGATGTGATCCTGTGCAAAATGCTTTAGGTGACCCTGTCTGAGCAGAGGAGTTGGACTAGATGTCCAATAGTTCCTTCCAACCGCAACCATTCTGTGATTTATACAGTATATGCAAGTATGTTTTTTAATATAAAGAAAAGATAATGCTTTGTGCAACCCGTGATTATATTGACAAATAAATAAATAAATAAAAATGAGGCTACAAGACAAGCTGCAGCAAACAGAATGGATGAAGGAGGTTTATGTACAGGCATGGACATGGCCTGACATGTCACCAGAGTTCTGCTAAGAACACCATTTTTTGAGGAAGAATCATAGTAGSAGTCATCTCAGCCGCCTCAGAGCTGACCCAGGAAACATTTTCTCTCTTACCAATTTGACACCCCGCTGATGTAGCTGAACCTCTGTGATTCAACAGCCACATTCAAGCACTCTCTCAAAAATCCAAAATGACATACCGTCACATTATTTTTATGATACAACATAAAAATAAATAAATAAAAATAAAACCCACCACACTATGCAGTCTAATAGCACTGTAAGAAATGTACAATACCTTCATTTCAGAAGCTCAGCGCTAGAACGGACACACAGAAACAAGTCAGCTGTCAGAACTGGTAGTTTTCTTTCCGAAATTACAAAATATCACGGGAATGAGATCCTACTATAAAGCTTTCTTCTCTAGGTCAGGCAGCTGAGTCCAATTTAAGTCCAATAAAAATAAATCATTAAGATGTTTCCAGAATGATTGTGCAGTGACCGAAGGACAGTTATTCAGTCTCAAAGTGAAAAATCTTCTTCCTTGTAATTATGTATTTGTCAGTTCACAATTTAGACAAAGGTGATCTGGTTTGACCCATAGAATGGGAAAAGATCACAGGAAGGAATTTCTCCATTTCTGATCTGACAGAAAGGTGTATGGCAGAATATATTCTCCATAAATTCGATTTTTAGCTAGCTTKATCTAGTCTCATCTTCAGTACCCCAACAATCCACTGTGATCTTCACTTCTCCCTTCCTCTCTCCCTCCATGCCCCTCAAAAGAAAACCACCTTCTTGTAAACAGTGTTTTGCTCTGACATAAAACATAAGTTTGATGAGGAAATACTCTTTCCAAGAAAARTTTTGTTTCTTTTTCACTATTTAACAAAATTGTGAATTATGAACAGTGAAAAAATGCATGTTTATGTGATCAAAAAAGGATAAATAACTGAGCAAATGTTATTTGCTCATACAGCTTAACACATACAGTCACATGCAGGATGCCATTAGTCTTCCAAAGCCATCAGCACCACAATATAAAGCAAATCATTTGGCTTAACCCATTTGTTGTAAAAAAACATTTCTAGTGCTGTTTTACACACCATCCAAAACAAGATTTCGAGACTGAGCTGAAAGAACTATTAATGGCGAGCTGGATGGTCCTACCAGCCAGGATCATTCTTACAACCATAGYCTAAAGTAATGGTAAGCACCTCAAAAGAAAACACATCCCTTAAGAAGCAGTGACAACCTTTGAGCTTTCTAGATCAAGACATTTTCTGGATTTTATGCAATTCGATCATACAGCTTTTTTAAAAATTTCATCCAGTAACAATAAATGTTAGCATGTTACTTTCTTCCTCATCTTGGCAACTTTACCTTTTGAATACTTGCACATGTTCATGCCCCCAGTCCCACCTTTTGTTGTGGTCTATCCAAACTATAAATTTCATTTTTTCAACCTTTCTTATAATTTAATTTTTCCATCCTTTTACCCCTTAATTAACTCCATGGTTCACATTGTCAGATGCTCATATTTTAAACAAGAGTCAGGCATCCATATATTTTAAAGTTGCACTAAACATAAATTACATTATAAAATAAAACATTATGAGCTTCTGAAAATGGAAAAAAAAGAATGGTATTGATTACAGAAGAGTTCTCACTTCCTGTAAACATTTCTATCTCTCTCTCTCTCTTTCCCCTCACACACACACTTTAAAGGAAAGTCAGAAAGAAGAGTTTAATTAAACACCACTAGTCTGAATTTCAAATAACCAAATAAACAGATGGCCATGGTTCACAGACCGCCAACAGTCTATTTCAATTAACTAGGATTGGTATTAATGTAATGTCATGCAAGCTAGAACATAACATCATAAAAATATATATATGATAGTTATAAATAGTATAACATTAAAGTATTTACCACTGTACAAAATTGGTACCAGCAAAAAGAAARGAAATTTCTATTTGAGGCCATCATTAAATACAGACATCTCCTTTAAGTGTATCAGGATGCTTGTTTGTACTTGTATAGGCCTCAGATCCTGCTGACTTGGTAAAGAACAGTTTGAAAAAATTAAATAAAGGTGTCCTCAACTTTTCATCAAGCAAACTCCAACGTTAGGCTTATGTTTACCAATTATTAGAGCCCCAAAGCTGCAATATTTAAATATATTTGCTTACATGGGTAAGCACTCATGAAACTAAAATCAATATTGTATTTCTCGAGTAGAGTGGATCTTCCAGATATAACAAATACATACAAATATATACAAATATAAACAAATAAATAGTTTGCTATTGGCAGCAAGGAACTTCTAGTGAATATCCACAAATTTTCCACAGAACAAGACAGACTTAACAACAAGGAAAGTTAAAAGACACATGACTTGAAAAGCAGCAGAGATTTCTGATGCTCTTCAGGCTGTGTCAAGTTTTAGTTGCACATCCTGCTACACTCCTCCTCCCATCATTTCTCCAACAGGGTTCTTCCGCAATAATTTGGGATATAGTTTGCACGACCTGCACTTCAACCCTGCAACATGAAGAGATATTTTTTTCCCTCACTTCTTATAGTGAATGTTGATAACTTCAACATTCAATAGTATTTCAAATCACAAATAGACATAAGCATTGATGAAAAAAAATGYTGGAAGTAATTTTTCTGATGATGCTGTTCCTAAGATTAGGAAAATGGGAGTGAGAGGGAGTGCCATTTCCATCTACTCTCTTTTTAGAACTCTGGACTCTGTCTAGATAAATTAATCCCATTGGGGCTGGAAATTGTAAAAGCTGATAGACATGTGTGGAAATGGAAGGGAGTGGAAACACAGAGGGCTGGGAACAAACTGATTATGAACTCCTGCCATTTTGACTCCTAGATTTGAGGTGCAAAAGGGAAGAATAAATAATATATTTACATAGAGATAGCAAAATGATAAGAGATCTTCTTAAACCATCTTAAACCATCTTTCAGTTCAACAGAAGGTGTTAGAAAAGCTCACATGGTTGTCAATTTTGTCTTTTAAGTTCAATTACCAATGTAAGCAACTAGTAGAGATAAACTGATGGATTTCAAGATAATACTTTCTCCTACACACACATTCAAAGATACACATGTAACATATTTATAATCTGGGAAKAGTGTTAAAATTTTAATTCATCATTCTTAAGATTATCTCATTTGAGATTTGTAAACTAACTACAGTACAGGATAAGAACATTCTGAAATATTTATAAAAGTAGCAAATACCTGAAGTACTCACAGCTGTGGAGTAAGGGTTACGAGCTCCTGTATTTTCAGCCCAGCAGCCACAACCATAAAGAGCTGCCTAAGAGAAGAAATGCATCTTCTGTTAGTTTAAGTATACGAAGCTCTTGGCTTGTTCTCTCTCCTTCCCCCTGCCCTCAGATACATGAAATAAAATACACTTAAAAAAAGAAAAAAAATCCAAATGGCAATTCCTATTAATTCTGTCATATCATCCAACAGTACTCACCAGAGCTGAGTGCTTGCTATAGAGCTAAGGCAGTCTAACTTTGCAGAAGAGGAGGACTCAGTACTTCAAAAGTAACTAAATTAAAAAGTCAGATACCAAATGACAAAATAATGCAACTATTCCCTATAGATGCAAAGTCTCCTTTATTTTGCTGTTGCAAAAAGAATTCTTAAATACATTCTGAGAGAGACCTGCTTACAAGAAAAATGGAACAAAATACAACTCTACAGCGAAAGGGTAATGTAAGATATTTCTGATGCATCTCAAGATTTCTGTGTCTACTAACAATGAAAAAGGCCTGTATTTTATTTTCTCTTTTAATACCTTTTGTTTTATACAGACAATGTGACACTGAACAGACATTYCCATCTGAAAATAATCACCTGACCAACTCTCCCAGGATGCTTTAACGCTAAACCTCCACTGGAGACAGCAGCAGCAACATTTCCTTCTTGGTCAACGACGACGGCACCAACTGTATCCAACGTTCCTGAGTCATTCTCCTGCAGGACACACAAACAGAAACAACAACTCAAATAGCATATCAGAGACAGACTGCACTTCTTAAAGAGTCTGCAAGCTGATGTTTACAGAACTAACTAATAAGACAATCAAAGCACAGTACTTAGTTATCACTCATATTATACTCATTAGATACTGCCATAAATCTTCTGAAAATGCTCTCTTGCCTAAGACAGGACCTGAAGAGAACTCTAGAAACAAGAAGGTGATAAACATCTCTAACTCAATCAAAGCTTAGATTGCCTGCTCTTGCTCACAAAGGTGCCAAATAATGTTACCTTGGGGGTGGATACTTTTTCTCATTTTTCATGCAATATCATTCCTTCACTTTTAACGCAGAGTAGCAGTAAGCTTCTTTCTTTCCTCTACATCTAGTTATTTCTGAACAAGTTTCTATCCTCTTAAGCTTGGGCTAATCATATTCAATATTAAAACCAGGCTGATTTTCCTAATAGCAAAGAAAGGACCTAGTGAGGTAAAGCAAGGTGAAAAATCATATACGGTCAACTGATGTGTGAGAGTGAACTAAAAAGTACAGAAAGGTAAAAAAAAAGAATCAAGGAAGCTTGGCAATTGAGAAGCGAAAGGAATCTGAGGGAGCAGAGCAAAGGAGAAAAGTGCAAGTTCCCTTCCAAGTTGTAAAAAGAAAGGAAAATTATGGGATACATAATACTAGAAGCTGCAAAACAAACAATCCCACAAACACACACAGATCTCATGGGCAAATATATTTCCTGTCTCCCAGGGCTGCTAGCCACAACTTAATACAGATATTATTAGCCCTTTACAACAACATTATTCAGTAGACTGAGAAGAGCCTGAAGATCACTGAAGCAGTGTACAGGCTCTATGCTTGGAAGTTTTAAAGGTCACATGTGATAATACCCTTCTAGCATAAATTATCCTATGATCCCATATTCAGAGAAGAAATTAGTAGGATGCAGGTTTTGTCATCCATCTCCTGCCCCCTTTAACAAAGAAATTATATACATACATACACACACACACACACCTCATGATGGTATTCATCATGTCAGAACCTCTATGAGTTTATTCAGCTAACTCACTCAAACAAGAGCAGTTCCTTAAACCACATAAATCCATACATAAACCACTACAACTTAGAAAATATTCCTCAGTCTTCACAGCTTCAAAACTGAGTGAAGTTATTGAACAAATTATTCTGTGTGCTATTGCACAGCCTTCTACACTTCCTACATTGGATAAACGATTCAAAAACACAGCAAAAAGAACATTCCATTTACCAGATTAAAATCTCCCTTGGCAAGTTACATTGCCTAGTTTTCCCAAACTTTTTTTTTTAATACAATCTTTAATTCTTTTAAACTTGGTATAATATAATTTTTAAAGCAAACTAAGTTTTAAAGCTGTATATTTTTTTGCTGGTATGATTTATCTACAGCTATAAGTTTCTTTCAGTCTATCCTTTCTGGTGTSCAGTACTACCCTCCTCACATCGGCTTTTTGATTATCATTTTCTTTCAATTTTCACATTGTTAACACACTTTCTACTTTGCTCTTCCCTCAACCTCTAAAATTTTGGGGACAAAAACTGATCAGGAATTATGACAGCTGTGCAGTATTGGGAACAGAGGCATACAGATTATGCTGCAGAATAGCTGAAAGACTGAAACTGGACAAAAAACAGCTAGCAAGTCCTGTTGAAAGGGACAGATTTGCAGCTTCACAGTAAATAAATAAATTCAGTACTTATCAATTAAAAGAACCTTGAGAAGATGATTAACTTTTAATTATTAGAAGTTTTGAAACGATTGTAAAATGATCATTTTTAAACCTCATACATCTCAGCTGCTCAGAGCACAAACTTAAAGATCACAGCTAATGTGCCTTTTCCTTGTTAAAAGGCTATTTCTCATAGTTTGGATAGCTTTTGCATCTTTCTTGTAGAATTTTATATTGTAGAATTTGATTTTTCATTTCTATCACACCTACCATAGTAGGTAATTGCATACACTGCAATTACCTTGTGTAACACAAGCAGCCCATTTTCTCATCCTTCTAATGGTGCTACGGTTTGCTTGTTTGTTGGTCCTCCCTCTGAAGACAAGAGGCACCAGAAGGGTTGACAAAACCAGTGTGTTACTGGAATACTTACCAGTGGGCAGAGTTGTATTTGACCACCTCCTTTACCTACCATCTTTGGTCTTTGGGAGTCTCCCACGAGCGCTGCACTTGACTCTGGAGCCCTTGAAATTTCAAATGGCAGGCTGGTAAGCTCATACATTGGCATGTTCCAAGCATTGACTTGCCCCCTATTACATGAATGTCAACACTACACAAAGACCCCTCCTCCCTCAGGTACATTTTGACACCCTAGGAAATGGAACTTCCACCAGGAGATGCATAAAATCCTGAAAACAAGAGAAGCTCCAGGACCATTAATTAACTTGCTTTCCCTCCCTCCATTCTTATCATCTTTACATGCTTTACCTCCTAGCAAACTCAGAAATAGATCCCTACTAGGCAGAAATCCTGAACTATGAACACAGAAGAAATAAGCCACTTTTATTACTGGCTTATACTGCACAGACTACAGTGAATATTTATTTCTCTTTTTTTTCCTTTTTTTCTCTCTCTTTTTTTCTCTCCTTTTTTGCCACTTCTCTGGAGCTTATAAATTATTTTTATAAGTCTATGCAACTACATGGGCAGCAGAGACTGAGGTTACCAAAGCAAGAGTTTTGTAGTAAAGGAGATAAAGTAATATGGGCCAGGTCAATGCTAGATGCATGCACAGATGCACAAGTTTACCCACCTGATATTTCAAATTTCACCAATTCCAGGTCTGTAATGCAGTGCACTCAGGGAACATTGAAAAATGGGAAACACTGACAAAAATCCCTAGCTCAACAAAATGCTTTTGTAAATATTTGTGTTTATATTTGTCATGTTTCCCCGTCAATATGAGCAAAATACATTGTTGATAGTACAAAAAAAGATATGAAATCAGAGTTTCTTTTTCAAAGTGCAAGGCAGAACGTTAATTGGACTAAGCAAATTATCACTACATCATCCAGACATTAAGGTGTTTAAGAAGTGCCTTTGGATACCACATTAGTTTCATCATAGATACGATATGAAATGTTGTTGTAAATTAAGAATGACAACAATATTTGAAATATGAACTAACCTTTTCATATGATTGTCTTCTTTTCTTTAGTTGAATGAGATCTGTTTCCACCTTCTCGGCCAACTCCAGCTTCCTCTTGTTCCTCTTAAAAGCTGCTAAACTAAATCCTATAAAGATATTTTAAAGGCATTTAGTTAACTAAAACATACTTTATTTAATCAAATATTGATTAATTATATATTTTGGAGGTCTTTTCCACCACATGCTCAGAAAAAAAAAAGGCTACAGCAGAATATTTGAAGCATCAGTAAAAAACATTTATATCTTTTCCTAAATAAAAAAGAAGTCCTACTAATGTTCAGCTATAACCATAGAATATCAAGTAGAAACAAGTTGCGGAACACATRTGGAAGTTATGTTCATCTAAATATCTCTGTTTGGCCAAAAAGCAACACTATGCAGAGGGGGGAAAAGTGGCTTGTGTTAAAATTATTGTTTTTGATTGATGTCAAGAAAATAGATACCATGTGAGCTCATTCTGATATCCATAAAATTAGGCTACTACTTTATTACCTTAACTGCCTATCTGTGCATTTACCCATATATTTAAAGCCACACAATAGTCAAGCAATATTTTTATGTTCTATAATGTAACACAGTTTAMAGACCACCTAGGTCTTAAAAAGACAAACATATATTTTCCACATTTAAGTGCCACATTCAGAGACAAAGTGTTCTCTAAAGTGGAATAAAAAATAATTACACTTAAGAAACCAAAATGGTATGTTCCTATTTTAGGAGTTTCATGGAAGGGAAAATTTTAAAAAATAAAAAAAAAAGAAGAAGAAAAAAAAAAAGATATTGACATATTTTTAGTTTAAATTAGCTTTGACTTTGCATTATCCACAGATTTTCTTATTTTCTTAAAGCTCTCTCTGAGGTATGCACAGATAAGTTAGAAACTCCATGGAAAGCACAAGTTTCCTATCTAAGCTATGAGAAATGTCAGAAAATTGTCATTTTAATTGAAATTCAGAAAATAGCTATATCACTATTATTCAGAAGACTGGAACAGCTGCAAGCACAGTTTATGAATGAAATCAATATTGCAGAGGCAACAAAACACAACACTTAAATTTATAATTCTCACCAAGTATACAGACAGCGAGCGCTTCGCTTCTTTCAAACCTCCCCAGCAGGGTGCCAAAATCACCTAGTGAACTCTCCTTTAAACCTCTTTTAAAATAAATAAAACTGGATAAACACTTATTTAAGTGGATAACCTAAAAGGAGGTCCAAGAGGTAAAAACAAAACAGTCTACAGAAGGGAGAAATACCATAACTTAGGGTAAAGAAAAGGGCAAGGAAAAACAGATCAAGAACAGAATTTATGAAACAGAAGTTAACAAAGAATACCCCAAAATAAAACAAACCAGCACACTGTTTTTAAGCATTTTTTAAAAACACAAAAACCTAAAAGCTGACCTGACTTTAATGCAATAAATACCTCTGGGCAGGGCCATAAGCCAGGTGAGGATGAAGGATGGTTGCTACTCATCAAAACTAAGCATTACATGGAGATAAATAGGCCTCTGCCGCTGGCCCCTGACAATTCAAGAAAAGCAGCTGTGGTACAAGAGGCTCATGAGGAGGCAGAAGACTATCCATGAAAACCTGGGCAAAAATGGTTTTCATCATGCTCCAGAATATAACCTACAAATCCTCTGCAATATGCATATGCCCACCAAGTCAAACGTGTGCAAGGACCACGGGGTAAGCAGAGAACACACAGGGCTTGTTCCCACCCTTCCCTGCAAGCCACATGTGGAGCTGTTAYGCAGCAGGGTAAGGGCTTCAACTTCAGCACCCCAACTACCCCTGCAACACAGCATGGGGCATCTGTGAGACCGAGCAATCTGCTAGGACCTGGCAACATCTGGGACCACTCTGCTACCTGCCGAGGCACTCGAAGGGCTTCTTAGCCCCAGCCCAACTGCACAAGTTGGGAAAAGCAGAGGGATTTCCTGCAGGGTGGGCTAAGCGACTGAGCGGAGTTCAGCTGGAAGCAGATCCTCCTCAACAGCACTCACCTACACGAGAGGCGGGTATTAGTGGAGATGGTGGCAGAATAGAGACCTGATGTGATGCATTATCTATAAAGGCAGAAGAAAAATTTACAGGCACATCTTGCTCAGGTTGAGAACACTGTGCATTTCTCCATTTTCAAAAGCTTCCAGTTTTATTCTGCACACTGATGAGAGAGGACTCCAAAGATCTCCATTACCCAATTCATTGGCACAAGATCATCATCTTGTACATACATTACTGAAGAAGATAATAAACACAACTTTTATATGGTCTTTTTTTTTCTATCATTATTGCCATTTTACAGAAAGAAATAAACAAGTGATTTTCAGCATGCAGGAAGAGTTAAAAAAAACCAAAAACCACTAAACACTGGTCACAGTCAATTCAGAGAGATGGCACTTGCCTGCCATAACATTTCCAAGTCATTTACTTATCTCTTCTTCACTGTAAAACATGGCAAAAGGTATCAGATTGCCGAAGTGCTGACAAGATTAGTATGAATAAAAATCTGCAACCCATATCTTGAGCATTGTCTTCTTTAACAGTAAGGCACCTAGGTAAATAACAGAAGACTATACTCCCCGTGATGTATAACTCTTCTGTGATAACTCCTCCTCACCACTGAGCCAAAGCTGSTCCTTGCTGTATAACACTGCAAAACTGCTCAGTAGCCTGAAGTCCTATTTAACACAATCAATTAGTGCCCTAATTTTTTCTTTGCTCTTCCTAGTTTACTTCTTGCTCACAAAATCAAAACCATTTACTGTATTTCAAGCATATATGCATACACTAACAAATTCTCAGTGGGTCAGAAGTTGCAAGCATTAGCTGGAAGGAATTCCAAGAAACTGAGGTCATGGGAATACGGAGAAAAACCACGATCTTATTTCCAGATCTACACAAAATTTGTCAATCAGTGTTAAAATGATGCTTCTTGACTCTTAAATTCAAGAAAAGTCAAATTACTAGTTTTGAGCAATGGTGCTCACAGTGATAAAACATGGCAGGGTAACCACAGCCATGTAACTTGGGGACTTCAAACCATCTACAGTGAACCTGCAAGCACAAGGGGAGTTATCAAACTTTAAAGAAAAGCAAACTTGCTAATTACAAAATCAGATACCATAGAACTGAGCAGCCCCTAGACTGAGACGTGGTAATCACTAGATTGACAGGCAACTTTTGGACTAGCAGCTTCCACCTGTTTTCAATATCTAGGGCTCTACAAATTTTACAGTAGAATTACAGATGTCTTTAGATGTGTCACGTATATAGATGCAACTATTTTATGCAAATTTTTTCTTAGCTCCCCTTCTTAGACCCACTAGAAACTCTCCTTGGAATAGAGGCAACAGAAAAAAAACAAGGAGAAAATCAGAATTATTGTATTTGGGGACTCCTTGAAAAGAGTGAATGGTACACRTAGAAAAAACTGCAAGACTAAATGCATGTCCCTTTTTTTTTTAACATATATATAAAGAACAGCAAAATTCATACAAATCTATTTGTTAATTCTAATTCCTTGGACTTTTAAACAGACTGTCAATCACAGGCCTATTTATTATAACATACTAACATTGCTTGCCTCAAGTTAATGTAAAAAGTTTTTACTGAAAAGCCCATATTTCCACTTTTCTTCCTAAACCTCCCCTCTCCTTATAAGCTAGTCCTATTTCCTTAAATATTTGCAGTCTATGTTAAAAATTTGGAAAATATTTAACTGAACAAATAACTTCCCGTATAAGATTAATAATACAAATTTCTAGCATCATTAAATCATTAATGGAGTTCAGGACAATATTGCAATCTTCATATGTACGTATGTATGAAACAGCAAAGCAGAAACACAAACCTCACTCTTTCTATCAGAATTGTTACAAATTATTCTGCCACAGAACTTTACACAACTGTTGCATGCTCAGCAATCCTTGTGGAGCGCAAACTGTGAATTGAAAATACTAAGAAAAGCCAAAGAATATTTTTCAATCTCTAGAGCACAGATGAAGCTCTGACCAATCATATAGCACCCCCTGGCAGGCATTTCATATAGTCAATTGAAATAAGCAGACAGGAAAATTTTCTCCATTTTATCTTTTTATTCCATATTAAAAGAGAATGCAACTACTGGAGGGAAGAGAAATAAAATGAAATCCTCTAGCAAATTAGTTAACCCACAGGAATTGAAATGATCTAGCAAAGAATTTTGTTGAGCTGTTGCTAAAATAAATGGCACAAATGAAAACAGGCAAATGAAAATAAATTTAATTTTAACAAAGCTATTCTTAAAAGACAAATTAACACCACTTATGCTTGTGTTGAGACTACTGGTGCTGCTTCCCACGTCATCCTACTTTGACAGTTACAAAAACATGAAAGAAAATAAGGAAAAAACTGAAAAAACACACACCCACACACACTCAACATAAAAGCATATTAAAAATAACTCTTTTAAGAGTACTACTCCATAGAGCTGTTCTTCACTGTAAGAACTCAGAGTAAGCTGTTGCTGGACATATTTCCTACTAACACATTTCCTACTACTTGCTGGGAGAAAGTCGTKTGTATTCCATCAAGCATCCTGTCTAGCTTCCTGGAAGATGATTTTCACTCAAAGCATCTACTAGGTTTGGCCCAACATGTTTCCTGTCTAATTCATAGCCACCCTCCAGGCCGCACTTGGCTGTTGGGATTTCAGAACTGCAAGTGAAYGGAACTGGTAGCACCTGCCAGCGTGGCATAACTGCACTATGCTCCCTTAAACCACGTTAACCAAATCATCGTGTCAAACCAAGCACTTGACTCCTACTGCTGGCTGAAATGAAACACTCTGACAAGAATYGTCCAGCTATTTCTAAAGGAGACACAAATATAGGCAGCTGAAGCTGCTAGAAAYAACACAACTTGATGCCTCAATGCACAGGCTTGTGCAAATATGTGGTTGTAAAAGGCCACACATCAAAACTGCAAACATTCAGCAGGCCCGAGCAAGCTTCCTTTGCAGCAAATGAACAACTAAGGTGGCTGAGCATGTTTTCAAAGGTCATCACTGAACAGGCTGCATGGCTCAATTTTAGATGTAGGTAAGCCAAACAAATCACTATTCATGTGTGCAGAAAGACAACAGATAGTTGTCCACTGAATAATGGATAAAAGCTGTTATTTGCAAATACATATATATAAAAAAATATAAATACATATATATAAATATATATAGCTAAAATATTCAGGGTATGCTTAATATTTCATTTGTGTCATCAAATTATTTTTCTAGATTATTATTTTTATGGAACCAATTATCACAGAATCATAGAATGCCCAAGGTTGGAAGGGACCTCAGAGGTCATTGAGTCCAACCCCCCTGCACACGCAGGGTCGCCTGCGCACAGCACGTGGCACAGGGCTGCGGCCAAGCGGTTTTCAAGATCTCCAAAGATGGAGACTCCACAACCTCTCTGGGCAGCCTGTTCCAGGGCTTTGTCACCCTCACAGTGAAGAAATGTACAGGCCTCCAGCTGGACTCCGCACCATTGACAACCACTSTCTGCACCCTGCCATCGAGCCAATTCCTAATCCACCTCCCYGTCCACACATCTATCCCACACCTTCGGAGCTTGCCCAGGAGGATRCTGTGAGGGACAGTGTCAAAAGCCTTGCTCAAATCCAGATRGAYCACATCTACCGCTCTGCCCTCATCTATCCAGCTAGATATTCCTTCATAGAAGGTGATCAGGTTAGTCAAGCAGGATTTCCCCTTGGTGAATCCATGCTGGCTACTCCTGAGCACCTTCTTCTCCTCSACGTGTCTGGAGAGAGCAGCCAGGATGAGCTGCTCCATCACTTTCCCGGGGATGGAGGTGAGGCTCACCGGCCTGTAGTTACTCGGGTCCTCCTTCTTGCCTTTTTTGAAGACCGGAGTGATGTTGGCTTTCTTCCAGTCCTCCGGCACCTCCCCCGTTCTCCAGGACCTTCCAAAGATGATGGCGAGCGGCTCGGCTAGGACATCTGCCAGTTCCCGCAACACCCTGGGGTGCATCCCATCAGGGCCCATGGATTTGTGGGTGTCGAGTCTCCCTAGATGCTCTCTGACCCACTCTTCCTCTACCCAGGGCAAGCCTTCCTCYCTCTGGCTCTCTTCGTGTGTCCCTAGGGCCTGGGATTCTAGAGGGCTGCCCCYGACAAACACRGAAGCAAAGGCAGCATTCAGCAGCTCTGCTTTRTCCGTGTTTTTYGTAACCAGGGTACCCACCCCATTCACTAGTGGTCCCACGTTCTCCMTGACCTTCCTTTTGTTGTTGATATATTTGAAGAAGTTTTTCTTGTTACTTTTAACATCCCRTGCCAGATTTGATTCCAATTGTGCCTTAGCTTTTCTTGTTGCATCCCTGCAACATTATACAACCATAGCAAAATTTTAATGCTCTTGCTTTGAAAATCTGCAGTCAGCTATCCACTATAGACATGTCAGCTGCATCTCTTCTTCAGCACTTTGAGGTAGGGGAAAAAATGAATTTGGGTTTCTTGCCATCTGTAYGCAATAGGGGCAGAAAAAAATTCAATTAAAAAGAATATCTCATATATATATAATATATATTTATAGCATTGGAAAGCCACAATTACAAGCAGTAGAAATCCCATTTTCTCACACACTTGGCAAACAAAGGAAAATCAAGCAGGTGAGTTTTGACATAACCTTGATGTAGTTCAACAAGCAGCACGGTTTAAGACATCATTTCAGTTGGTGCTCAGATATTTTGATAGTTCCCAGAGAATTATAGAGTGAGACCACAAAGCTGATCCTGCAACTTGCTTTGTAACTGATCATGCAGAAAGCTCCATCAGTGCAAAACCAACCACACAATCCTACAGCCTTTTAGTGTGGATAACATTTCTCCTGCCATCTCAAGTCCAGGAAAAAGGAGGCAGAATAATGCATCTTCAAGAATATTTTTTCCATGTGCAATGAAGAGAAGCCAAGATGTGCACACATTTCTCCTTGCTAACATTTGTTACATGTCTAAATTTTGGGTTAGGTTTTTTTGTTTTGTGACTAAATGCATTTTCCTGATGTTTGGCAATTACTTCAGTTCTTTGTTTTACAGAGCTATTCAAAAGCCACAGAACTGCAGCTTATCTCCAATTCCTCACGCAAATTCTAACACAGGAATCATAGCAAGCATCATCAAAAAGCTTCTTTCTTTTTTCCTGAGGTTCCTTAGATAAGTTTAAGCTCACTTCAAATTAGATTGTTTACTGTTCCTTGGAAATAACTTTCTAATCATAGTTTCTGGAGAAAGTCTACCCTTCTTTCCCTTATTAACACTGGAAGAAACAATTCTGGTTTTCTGTGTCAGTGGTGAGGCAGTTTCCAACTGTTTTTCAGTGTAACAACTGCATGTTGTCACATCTGCCTCTAATGGTCACCTTCTAACCTCACTGACCAAAGTCCAACCAAACTACTACTCAAAGGACTAACTTTGCTAAGGATTAGTATGGAAATCAACATAACATCATTACCTGAAACTGAAACTGTAGTTCTGTTGCTTGTCTTCAGAGTATATTAGAACACATCCATGAAGAATTTGGTTTAACTGGTGTGCTCAGTACTACAAAGCATCTGTGATTATCAGTCTCTGCCACATATTTTTTCAAAATATCCTTCAATTAWCCTAATCTATAATCATTCTTCTAGCAAAACCGTCAGGCAGTCTCTACGTGCAGCTACAGCCTGCTGCACAGCACTAGCTCAGTSCCACAGCAAGCCCCCGCTGCGCAATGATTCAGGCCTACGCGTCTATACACGTGCACTATAAAGTTGGGTAGGGGAGAGGGAGAAGCTTTTCCATTGACACCATAAGCAGATAATGCATTTCTTCACTGACTTCACAGAAGGATTTCACAAACCTGCTGCTTTAATATATTTTTTGCTAAGTAGAAATACATTCTGCAACCCAAAGAGACAAATCACCACATTTGGGAGTAGGCTTGTGAACAGACCAAGTTATTTTTCTGCTGTTTCTCCAGGGCACCTTCATTTCTGAGCCAGGTAAAACAAAGTAGCTGTGCTCACCAATATTTTAAAGTCAYATAATCTGTATTTGCTTTAATCAGGGTGCATTTTAATGATGAAGACATCTGGCAACTAATGCTCCAGTTTAATCGTCTCCATCATAACAGAAACTCACTGGTTCTAGAAACAGTTGAAACTTGTGTATGAGAACAAAACCAGCCGAGAAATCTTCTGGGTTACATACTACACATAGTGAATGACTACTTTCTAAATAATTCCTTCAAGAGTTTTTATTCTTTCTGAGTCACAGAAATAAAGGTGTTCTCCTTAACTGAGACTAGAAGATGTTTTGCAAAAGCTGTCTTGGAGAGCAGATACACAGGACAAAAGTTTCAGCCATGTAGAACTAGATATCAAAACAATCTGCTTAAAGTGAAATGCACCATGAATATGTACGAAAGTTGGCATGGTGAAGCATAACGGTGCCACTGTTTCGGAGGTTATATTTGACCACTTGGTCTTAGCAACTTAGAAGTGCTAACTTCTGGATGTCTATCTRCATTTAGAGAGAGATTCAACAGAASCACTAATGCAACCCTGRGCTTTAATCCCTGGTTTAGGCACCACTCAGGTATTTTATATATTAATACTGCTTACTGTTAAATATAGAAACATGGTATAATCTTATGCTCTCTTTCTTCCCTGAGCAAGGAATTATGATTTCTTTCCTGCACAAATTCAACAGGAAAAGTAGGGCACAAAGTCTCCCATAACAAGCTACAGACTGCTGGTACGGGCACTTTCCAAAAGGGAAGGGACTGAGGGAAGGACATCCTCCTTTGCAGGGATGTGCACACTAGCCCAACTTACAGACGGTGCAAATATGCCATAATTATATCTCTTATTCTTAAAGAAAAAAAAGAAAAAAAAAAAAAAAA